TACAATTAGCATGTATAATGTGGGGGGGGCATAGGTAGGGATGTTCAACACAGAGAAGACAAGTAGTGATTCTACAGCATCTCACTATGCTGATGGACAGCGATTGTAATGGGGTTTGTGGGGGGAGACTTGGTGAAGGGGGGAGTCTAGTAATCATAATGTTCTTCATGTAATTGTAGATTAATGATAACAAAATGAATTAAAATAATTTAAAAAATGAAAGTTCTTAAATAAAATTGAAATGTTGAAATATATTTCTCAAATTTAATACCTGTTTTGTTTGGGAGATCTATGGCAAAATTTCAAATCAGACAAGCTATTGTGGATTGGTTTTGTGTAACTACTATGGCTCAACTCACTATCACCAGCCACTGTTTACTGAGCATCTTCTGTGCCCGGCAATCTGCTGGGAGCTGGGGTGCAGAGCTGAGTAGCCCATGGTTCCTGCCCTCTGGAAGCTTGTGGTCTACAGTGGGTGGAGGGGCTTGGACACCAGTAATGTAATATTATGCCATTGGTGCTATAACTGGTGTGTGCACAAAAGTATGGGATTTATTCTTGGGGAATGAAAGGGGAAGTTCTGAAGTCACAGAAAAGGCAAGTGAGAAAAGCACATTCCAAGCAAAGAACACTGTCTATGCAATGGTATGGAGGTATGGAGATATTTCTATTTGGGGAATGGTGTGTCTGGAACACAGGAAGCAGAGATGAGCTGGAGGGGCAGGAGGGTTGGGAGGGGACTGGTGCAGAGAGGCCTGGCCATTTCAGCTTTCATGGGACTTCCAGTGGATACTCCTGGCCCCAGAGCTCCCTACCAAGGTAGCCAGAGCTCGGTCAGGCCTGCATCACAGCTGAGCTTCTCCCTCTGCCCAATCCATCTCCTTTTCACAACCTTCCTTCCTTTGATTCTTCATAAACATCTTGCATCCAAAGTTTCATCACAGCATCTGCTTCTATCTGAGTGTTGGGGTGGGGTGGTGGGGGTGGGGTCCAAGATGGCTGAGTTTCTACCTGGGGAAGCTGAGAAACAGTGATCCTAGGGACTAGGTATGGTGCTTAGGAGAGAAGGGGCAGGTCTGGGCAGTGGGGTCACAACTTTGGCTTTTACCAGGTAGAATCTGGAATGCCTGTAGAAGACTGGCTTATAGACAGGCCTAAAGAGGCATTCAAGGCCAGTACTCAAAATCAGTCAGGGAAAGAAATGCCAGTCATCAGAGGGTAGAGCCAGGAAGTAGTTAAAAGCTGTTCGGGGGTGTGGCTCACACAGGGAGATTTCAAAAAGAAGGTGGAGGGCAATCCCAGTTCATTACTGCACCAGGCGAGGCAGAGGCTGCTGAGCACATGCGGCACGGTCCTGGCACACAGGAGCTCTGTGTTGGTTGGGCAGTCCAAAGACACACACAAAATACAGCAACCTCAGGGAAGCCTCAGATACTAAGTTATAAAGGTCAAGCCCTACCTTCATGGCTTACCAAGTGCTTTCATAACACACCCAAGACTGGATCAGGCCGTCCACGCCTGAATGCACCAAGCAATCTTAACAACTTAGGAACGATCAGATGTTAGTGCCTCCTAAGGTGACACAGTGGGGAGCACACAGCTCCATCTAGGAAGCATTCTTGCCGAAAGGATTGAGATTGAACCTGATCAAGCTTCTATGTCTAACAACCAGCTCATGGAAAATACCAGGGACAGAGAAACAAGCTAGAGGACACCACAAGGCTGCAGTCAGCCAAATCCAAGACTGTGGGGAATTTTTTAGGGTGACTGAGACTGTTTCTTCAACAAATAAATGGCAAGAAAAAATAAAGGGAGGAGGAACTTACAGTTCAAGAGAGATTTAAGGGACATTTCAATCAAATATAAAGTGTGAACTTTGTATGGAAGCTAACTAGAACTAGTCAACTGTAAAAACACATTTGTGAGATCACGAATGGGGATGTTGACTGGATATTCGATGGTAGGAAGGAATTACTGGTGAATTTTTAAGTGTGATAATGGCATTATGGTTATTTTATCTCTTGAAGGTGAAATCACATAGTATTAGAAATTACTTTACAATAATCCAGTGATGGGAATATGTGTGGAAGAAGTGAGGGTATGAGACTGTCCATGAGTTGGCAATTTCTGAAGCTGGGTGTTGGGGCCATAGTTCATCATATTATTTTTAGTTAATGTATATTTAAAGCTTTCCACTGAAGGGGAAAAAAAAAAGAAGGCATGAGAAGTACCTGGCACATAATAACAGCTCAATAACTAAAACAATGAGCAAACTGCACCTCAGATTAAATAACTTACCTAAAGTCACTTGGAATTGGCAAATGATACCATGATCCACTTCTGATAAAGTTCTATATTGTTAGGCAGCCCAGTTAATCACAAAAGTCACTCACTGAAATTGAGTTTTTATTCCAAATGAGTATAATGGCTAGAAAGACAAGAGCTAAAACTGAAATGATTTGCTTAACTGGAAATCAGAAGTAGCTGATTTACAGGCAAGCAAATGGTGGGGTGACAACCTTGGTATAATGGTTATAACCAAGAAAGCGTAAAAATAATCAATGTCATTCTAATACACAATTTGATGTGCAGCATTTACAGCAAATAACAGAAAAAAAAAGAAGAAAGGAAAAGGGAAAAAAACCCCACAAAATCCCAAACCTCAGAAATTAACATTCACTTAAGAACACAGTGGTAAAGACTTGGTAGCAAAATTTTCACAATTCTTAAAATGGGAGTCTTCAAAAGTACTTCAAATTCAAAAGCTAAAAAAACCGAAAGGAAACAGTTACACTGGCTTAGAAGAGCTGCCACCTGTCACAACGATGACCTTCAGTCCTACTTCCAAACACAGTGATAGCCGGTGAACCTGACAGAGCGGGCGGAGAGGCTGGCTGGCGGGCACTGACATCACTGATTGTACGAGAGTGCACTGGCTGCCCGTCACTAACCGCCAAAGCCACAGCTACTGCTGCTCCTGACTGATGCCGAGGTTGCCCTTCTGCACCTCGAGCTCCTCAGCGCTGACCATTGATGGGTCAATGGCCGCATATTTGGTTCCGTGGAATTGCAGGAGGTGTATCTGTATAAGTGCAGAATGATTTTAAATGTCACCACAGTACATAAATGTTTTATACTTCTAAAACTCAGAGTAATACATACTAATTGGAGAGAAAAACTGGGAAACAGAGAAGTTACAGAAGTATTCTCAAAAACCATGCTTTGGGATCTTTGTTCTTCATTTAGTATGTAACCAGTTTCTTCAAGTTCCTACAAACTCTTCAGAAACATCTTAAATAGGGGCACTCTGCTCCAAGGAAGTGTGTACTTTCCCCCTCTGCTGTGGCCAGCCAGGTCTTCCCATCCTCTGCTGTTCCAACACCGCGATCAATGTCTCTAGGCATCAAGTTTTTCTATATTTAGGACCCTCTCCTTAGGATCCAATGCCACAAGTGGATGACAGGATCAAAGGACGTGACTGTTTTTTTAAGGTTCTTGACATTTTTTGCCAAACTGCCAAAACAATTATTTTTTACCACTATTCTAATGTACATTCAGGTAGAGGATAAAGAGGTGGGGTTTCTTAGCTTTTGTGTGTGTGTTTTTTTAATGCATTAAAAATAGATCAAGAAGTTGCTTCATGGGGCTCAGATTGACCCCATTTAGGTCAGGTGTCCTACCGTGAATGAATTCATTGTGTTCAGGAAGGCAAGGTCACATCGGACCAAATGGCTAACTTCAGTGTATGGATGAAGGCCTGCTGTTCTTAGAAAAAGGATGGTGGGCAGAAAGCCACCGTGTGTCTCTACTATACCTGCTTGAATTCTCCTATAAATTATTAATGTAAACCACCTTTATTAAGTCAGTAACTCATACCTACAGAGAATTCTGTAGTTCTCTTACTCTACCATCAAAAAAAAAAAAAAAAAAGGAAAGGCTTTATGTTTTGAACCACACACTTTGGGTGCAAAGTGCTGTGGGTTCCAAGCTGAGACTTACCTGTACATAAAGATTCACCTCTGCACTCCTGCAGAGATAGGGGAAATTTCCTCCCGTTTTAAGGTGAGCTCTCCGGGCATTAGGATACAGTTTGTACATTTCTTCTTTAGCTTCAGTTGAAAGGGCACTCTGGTCAAATACCTTAAAAAAAAAGCGACAAGGCTGAAACCTACTGCTATTTTAATATGTTCGTTGCACATTACGGAAAGTGCCACCCCAGGCATTTCTTTCTCATGAAAAGACACTGCTAAACCCCTGTGCAGCCTGGCCACTCCCTTCTGCTGATCCCTGGTGACTTCTAACTCTAATGTGACTTTAGTTACAGATTCTGCTGCCAAATGTCTCTTGTATTCTTTAGAGGGAAAAGTTCTACAATGAATTTCCTTTTCCTTGGACATCATTAACTAAATTAACAGAATATTAATACTGAGCAATTATTACTGAAAAAGCAATTTATTTCAAAAGAATCTTGAAACCCCAAAAGAACTTTTAAATTTTATTCTTAGTTAAAAACAGTTACATAGACTCAGTGAAAAAAACTCCCCCCAAAATTTAGATTATAAAAAGAAGTCCAGATCCTTTCCTGGGGGAGCTACTGTTAGCAGTTTGGGGTATATGGTTCTAGACATCTTTCACTGCCCACACAAACTTTTGTTTAAACATACCTGCAAAAAAGTTTTTCAAAAAGTAATTTAAAAGAAGGAAAAAAAATGCATCTCCAACTTACTAAAGCTTATTGACAGTTGTCAGTGACCATGCACCCAAATGGTGAGCACAGCTTTGAAAGAGGGAAAGCAGAGCAAACGCACTGTGAGCACCAATTATTTCACGTAGAATACTGAGAAGCCTGCTCTGTGTCATGGTGAATGTCAGAATGTAGAGTTACAGTGGAGAATGATAAGTTATTGTTTACATGCTGGTAATGGCAGTTTCCTGACAAAAGTTAATTCTTAAAGATACCGTGTCATTTGAATTTAGGAATAAATCCACTTATGAGGCAAGCTAAAGTAGTTACATGATTTTTTAAAAAGCCACAAAATATAACAAGCAAAACTGAAGGAACAGAACAGCAACAGTCACCAAAGGGAAGGAGTAAGGAGGGTGGGTGGGGAGTGAGGGCGAAGGGCATTGAGGGGCATTATGATTAAGAAACATAATGTAGGGGGGTTATGGGGAAGGCAGTATAGCACAATGAAGACAAGCAGTGACTCTATAGCATCTTACTATGCTGAAGGACAGTGACTGCAATGGGGTATGTAGTGGGGACTTGATTATATGGGTGAATGTTGTAACCACAATGATGCTCATGTGAAACCTTCATAAGATTGTATATCAATGATACCTTATTGAAAAAAAGAAGCCACAACCACAATGAAATACAACTTCACACCCATTAGGATGGCCATTGTCAAAAAAAATAATAAATGTTGGTGAGGGTATGGAATGACTGGAACCCTTGTGCATTGCTGGTGGGAAATGTAAAATGGTACCGCCACTGTGAGAGACAATAGCATGGCTCCTCAACAAGTTCAACACAGTTACTATATGACTCAGCAATTCTACTTCTAGGCAGATACCCTAAAGAATTCAAAATAGGGACTCAAACAGAGACTTGGACAACCAAAACTCATATAGCATTATTCACAGTAGCCAAAAGGTGGAAACAACCCAAATGCTCATCAACAGATGGATGGATAAACAAAATGTTGTATAATATACATATAATGGAATATTATTCAGCCTAAAAAAGAAAGGACATTGTAATACATGCTACAATCTTGAAGATACACAGATAAACCTTGAAGACATTATGCTAAAAGAAAGAAGCCAGAGACAAAAGGACAAAGACAGGGTTCCACTTCTATGAGGTATCTAGAGTAGTCAAATACATCCAGGAAGTTCATTGCTCGTTACCAGGGCTGGGAGGAGGGGGAATGGGGAGTTATTGTTTAATGGATACAGAGTTTTAGTGTGGAATGATGAAAACTTCTGGAAATGGATAATGGTGATTGATGGTTGCACAACACTGCAAGTGTAATTAATGCCACTATACACTTAAAAATGCATAAAATGGTAAATTTTGTTACGTATATTTTACCACTCAAAAATATAAAAAGCAAGCTTTTGTGTTAGTTAGACTTTATGGAATTCTTGGTTCTCTGCCCTCATGAAACACCTTCTCTGTGCTGCCCCGATGTGTGGCAGCTAAAGTGCAGTATCTGTTGATGAGAATAGCAAAAATACACAGAAATGGCTAAGGACCACCATATCTGTTGAAATTGATTCCTATTTCAATGGTGTTATTCCTACCAGGGAAAATATAGGATAACCAATAAACAGATTGTTTTGGAATTAAGAAAACTGGGAGTGTAAAAAAAAAAATCCAAGGCAGCATTTGCAGAGACACATTGAAAAATTATAAAATAATCATGAGGAAGGTCTTGACATGCACATTTAAAAAGGAAAGCATCCATTTTATTTAAAGGGAAGCTTACATCCATAATGGTTACAGGGATGTCCCGAATTTTATGAGGTTCCACATAAGAATTTTGACAATTCAGGGTAAGTCTTGAAGCCAGTTCACTCTGACCCAAACTCTCCAGCTGCAGGAAGAAATAAGTGGAGTTTTGGATTAACTTTTTTCACATTTACATTAAATCCACAGATAATAATTGTGCTTTAAAGGTGGTATTATGTGTGGTGGGGCCAGGAGGGTCACTGAGGAAACACAACATATTTGAGACCATGAACTGGGCCTCTCAGTGGTGGCATTTTTCTACTCTGGGAGCCTGGCATTCCATGGCCCTCAAGCTGACCTGCCCCACAGGTGCCTGTGCGCAGCAAGCCGATTCCTGCTGCTCAGCAATGACAGGTGAACCTCAGAGGTGTAAGACACCTCAGAAAAATCATCTAGTCCCATAGTTTCCTAATAAGTCTACAGACCTGCTGCATCAGATTCACCTCAGGGAGAAGGAACAGCGGGAGTAGAGTAAAATTACAGATTCCCAGACCCCACATCCAGGGATTCCAGGTCGATGGTCTGGCAGGAGGCCTTGGAATCTGTGTTTTTAAAAGCTCCTCCAAATGATTCTGATGAATTACTTACCAGCAGTAATACCTGTTTAGATGTATTTAAAGTTAATATGGAAGACTGCTTAACTAACACCTCTACTACATACTCAAGGAGACAGATGTATCTTCAGGAACTGAATGGGCATGAAAATTTCTATTACAAGGTGTCCTCACCCCAATGCCATGATCCTTACCCTGTCCACCATGAAATCGATGGCATCAGCCATCATAGGGTCCACTGGGCCAGATGAAAAGTTTCCAAGAACTATTTTTTTGAGCATAAATGATGGCATCAGCCAAAAGCTGTAAAACAAAGACCTGATAATTTAAATTTCCAAGACTACAAAGAAATGGCAAATAGTCATTCAACAGTGAAGTTCTGTATTAGCTAGGTCCTTGGGATCTAGAGATGAAAAGACCTAGTCTCTTTCTTTCAAAGGGCTAGTTTTGAAGCATCTTATTTTCATGTATACTTTCCCAAGCTCCCAAGAGTTATGGTTTAATATGATTAAATTCTTACTTGAGGATCTGGAATAATTATAAGCAATATTTCAAAATACCTTTGTCAAGGTGGACATTCTGAGGTAGATGATTCCAAGGTAGATGATTCCAAGATTTTTTTTTTTCCAAATTGGCCTTACTCCAATGGCCAAACTACTTCCTTCAAAAACTGAAAACTTAAGATTTACATCACCTTTCAATCAATTGATATTTCAAAATAGTAAAATGAAAGAGTTATCATATATCCCAAAATTTGCTAGTAGATTCTATTGGGCTAATTCAAAGCAATTCAATCTTTATGCATTTCTATAGGTGATTTTTAGTTGATTAAAATGTTGAGAGCCATTTATACAGGGTGAACACTCATTTCTCTAAACCCATGCTGAAACGACTTATAAAGGATGTAGACCAACCACCTCCTGATGCATATTCTCAATGGAATGGCTTGTTGCAAGTTGAGCTTCCCTTGCAAGGCCCAGTCAGTCATCTGTCAGTCACCTTTCTCCACCCCGCCCCCTATAACTTTTTATCTTCTAAAGGTGATGATATCTATGTTCGCCCTGTGAAGGGTGGACCCTGTTGGCCTTGCTTGTGCCTGTAGCCCCAAAGTGTGGCACATCACAAGCACTGAGATATTTGATAAAACATAGTGGATATGCAAAAACACAAACAAACTGGGGCAGCCTTGGCCCCTAACAACTAGGACATTAAAAATCATAAAAAATAATCAATGAGTTTTACTGCATCATCTGGACATGAAATATTGGTAGTTAATGTACACAAAAACTGCTGTGTGAATGCTGAGTAAACTACTGAGGCAATATCAAGAAAAGTTTTTAAAAATGATAGTACAATTTTAAGTAGATGTGAAAATAAGGAAAACAATGTTTATCTATTGTATTAGGTGAAAATTAAACTGATGATACAGGTATGCCTAGCCACCGGGCCTTTTTTTTAGAGTCGAGCCTACCCTTGCCAGCGCTGAAAGAAACCACTTTAAGTTAGTTTTATAAGGTACCATCAGATACCTATCAAACTAATCAAAATGATGTAATCAATGAAAGGATGGCTCAGAGGAAGGAAATATCCCACTGGCTGCCCCACAAAGCATTCTGCTGTCTCCATCTTTCTGAAAAGCAAATGAACATTAATGTGCCATATAGTGCGGAGCACCTGTAACTGACTAAATGCTCTTGTTTTCTCTATTTCGGGGAACACATCTCAAAGAAACAACATAGGAAGGGATGGAAAAAGTAGTTTGTGAAAAGATTAATAGCAGAACGTGAGATGCCAAACACCCTATAGAACCTGTGCCAGTCAGTACCCAGCACTGTTCACACAGGCAGAACACACTGTTAGTTACATGGGCTCTGAGGAACTGTCAGAACCTATCAGTGTGTATTAAAGCTCAACACCAGTTTAGAGTAATAGAAATAGCTGAGTTCAGAGCTCACTCAGTTCTTTTCTTTTGCAAAGTTGATTGTTTCTAATTTTAAAAGCTAGGGCGGTTTCACAGAAGAAGATATGACACCCCTGCCTCCCACAGGGCACCACAAAACCCAAATGCCAATCTTTTCAAAATTCCACCGAATGAAAATAGTAAGAATTTGCCTGACTATTTATGTTCTTACCTGTTGGCAGTCCAAGTTTGATTAAAGATTGAAGTGTCACTGAAGGAATTGCAGAGGATGAGGGAATGGACTCTGGGAGATTTGTGAGTATATTCAGCAAATTTCTGGGCCAAAAAGCCTCCCAAAGAAGCCCCAAAAAGATGAACCTAATTGTACATGAACAGAAGGAAGACTCTGAGAAAATGATCAATCCTGAACATAAGTTTCCAAAGTTACTGTTAAGTATCACCAATCACCGAATATGTCATCACTAGTCATCAGACTGCAAGATCTACAGCAGTTAGAAATTTAGGAAATACTGTGTTTAAATGCAATTTCTAAGTTTCATACAGAAAAAAATACAACTGCGCATACAAATTATACAAGTCAAAAGAACATTATTCACAGATTGCACTACAAAATAAAACCACTCAGTGGTAGTTTAAGAAAACTATGATTCGGTAATTCCACTCCAAGGCACATACCCAAGGGAACTGAAAACATGTCCACACAAAAACTTATACATGAATGTTTACAACACAAAATATTCCTAATAGCCAAACAATGGTGACATTTCAAAGGTGATGAAGGGATAAATAAAATGTCATATTTCCATATAATGTGATGTTATCTGACAGTACAAAGGAATGAAGTACTGACAGATGCTTACAACATGGATGAACCTTGAAAATGTTACACTAAGTTAAAGAAGTTTGTTAGAAAAGACCACATAGTGTATGATTCCATTTATATAAAATATCCAGAATAGGCAAATCCACAGAGGCAGGAAGTAGATGGGCTGGCAAGGCTGGGGGTGGGGGTGGGGGGGAGGAGTGACTGCTGATTGAGTATGGGGTTTCTTTTTGGGGTGACAAAAATGTTCTAGAATTGACTGTGGTGATGGTTGCACATATCTGTGAATATATTAAAAACCACTGGATTATATCATTAAGAGAGTGAATTGTGTGTTATGTGTGTCATATCTCAAAGAAGCTGTTATTAAAAACTAAAGATAACACCAGGCTTTACAATGTGAATGTTGCATTAAAATCACACATAAGTAGTTTCAGGGTACTCACTTTATCCAGTTGTAAATGGTCTAAAAGTTTTCTGAATCCATCACAGAATTCAAGATGATCCCAATAAACTGGATACTGCAACTGAAGTAATAACAATTTTTAAGTTTATTTAAAAAATGAAAGTAAAGGTAAAATTCAACTCATACATATATGAAAAACTTAGGCCTCTCAGAGAAGCCCACATTTCTCATTTTTTCAAGCTCTGCTCCTTATTCAAAATACATGAAAATAAGCTCCCAACTTCTCCTAAACTTTGATTCACATTTTACTTAACAGACCAGTTTAAAAAAATAAAAAGTAGGCACACTGTAGTGATATACATGAATAACAATTTCAATTCACATCAATTTTATTTCCTAATAGCTGAGAGACTCTGGCTCAAGTGTGAATAGCACAAAACTTATCCATGTAAGGAAATACTGGTTTCCTTTAAATCGATTTTCATTCTGAATTATGGCTCAGGAAAACTAGAAATAAAATCTGTTCTAGGGAGAATTACCTCTCTTTCTTAGTAGCACTTCTTTAAGGGAGTAGTCAATAAAAGTGTTCTTCTTTTTATGAGTCATGCTGATTTCTTCTCGTTCTTTCATTTGTAACCAAAAATATGATGTTTGACTCTAAGCAGCTTCTCTATTAATGCCGACAATGAGCCAGAAAAAGAAATATAAGTCACTAGCTCCATTCTAGGGGACTCAGGCTTGTCATCTAGGAATTCCCCTCTTCAATAATATGTAAAACTCATCTGACAGGCTTGTTATCTTAAGCACTTAGATTCATTTTGTCATTGATATATAACTGGAATACATAATGCCATGTAAATTATGGGATAATTTTAGATTTGATGGAATATGTTACCTTTACTATTAAAATTCCATTTGTGGATAAGATTCTACTTTGTAAGACAAGATGGACAATAGACCCTCCAGAGCAGAAAATTTGAGAATTTGAGGCAGATGATAGCCAAAAAAAAGATGATATTTGTATGATGCTTTTAATTTAAAAATATCTGTGCCCTAGACAGGGGATAAAATTGTATACAACTTTGGATACACACCCACACACAACTGAATACAAGTAAAACTGGGAAATCTGAATAAGATCCATGGATTATATTAATATCAACTTCTTGGTTGTGATATCTTACTGTAGGTTTGCAAAATGTTACCATTAGGAGAAACTGGGCAAAGTACAAAAGGGATCTCTGTATTATTTCTTACAACTACATGTAACTCTATAATTATCTCAGTATAAATTTAAGTGAAAAAAGGATCCATGCATTTTAACTGTTGATACTAAGAAGTATCTAATAAATTAGTTTTAAAACCTCATGAGGTTGGGATTATGATCAAATCTTAAGGATCAAGTAACTTTGAAGACCCTGTTGGCCTTTTCTTGATTCATTATCTAGCTAATCCAAGAGGGAAGCCCACATCAAGAAGCTTGAAGGCAAGAAAAAATATCCATCCAGAAGGGAAGGCTCTTGTGACCTGCCAATTTTAAGCAATAAATACAATATCAGCTTTCTTTCTACAGTGCCCTAAAGTGGGACGGGCGCCAGGGGGCTAGTCAGTTTCCCTCTCCCTGGCTGATCAGCGGCGGCCACCAGGAAAGGCACTGGCATGTCTCCGGCTGCAGGAGGCTGCAGGGAGGGCAGTTACACCCTGCTCTCCTGGAATGCTGTCTAGTAAGGGGGATTGTGAGAACTTAGAACAAGGGAGGATTATGTTTCAGTGACTCAGCCATGTCACATGAGGCATGTTAAAGAATCTGGAGAAATTCAGCCAGAGAAGAAACCATCTGGGAGGGAAGCAGTAGGCGGTGCTGATAATAACTAGTTCTCTCAAGAAAGGGACCGGCTGTCAGGAGGAAGAGGAACTGGATTTGTTTTGTGTGGCCCCATTTGGTAAAAACCCCAGTAGAATTTTCAGTTACCTTCCAAGAGAAGAGATTTGGCCCACATTTTCTCTCCTTCAGACAGTAAATAAAATGTGTAATAACAGCAGTAGTCTCACAGAGAGTACCATTTACATGTTAAATATTCCAGGGCCCAGAAACAACTGCCAACTCCAAAGCCAAAGGGTCTCTCCTTCCTGGGAAGTCAGGAGACCAAGCCTGTCCTTACATGGTTGAGACATGCCAAAAAATCACTCAGAAGTCACAGTGCCTCCCCCACCTACAACTCAGAGAGAACACGATTAAAAAATGATCAGTGGGAAACTAGATTTAGGCCAAATTCAGGGATAAAATAACAAAAGCTTCTTAACCAAACGCCAAAGGCATGAGCTGGTTAATGAACTTCACCTCATCTGTCAAAGACTTACGTTAGAGGAAGCTTTGAGCCACCTGGATGCTAGCAGATCCCTGTGCTGACCCCTACTCCATGCTCAGCACCCCTGAGGCAGTGGTCTAGCAAATGAGGTGTGGGAACAGAGCCAGAAGACCCAGCTTGGTTCTCCCTCCCCCACCTCCTGGCTGTGTGACCTGTGGTGACCACTAAAATGGCCTGGACCTCATCTATAAACCAGGCCAGTGCTGCCTACCATTCAGACTTACAGGGATGCTGTAAAAACTGGGTGCAGAGAAGGCTTCCAAAAGAGGTTTGTCCCCTGTGTCTCTGCATATTTTCTTTCCAAAAGGCTTCATTTCACATTTTTAAAAAGGAAAACAGTATCTTACCTCAATAAAAAACATGTGCATTACTATAATTAACCAGAAACAGATGCACACACAAAAACACAAAATGTGGACCTGAACTGTAACACTGAATCAGTAATACTTACAGCTATCACCCGGTAACCCCATCCGGTCAAAGCCAAAATCTGCCGGAAAAATACATCTGCAGTTCCGCTGACAGGGGGGAGAAATATGAGAGGACACCTGATAGTTCGGGGGCCTGCATCATAGAGTGACCATATCTTACTATCATCATCGTCCACAATAATCTGGAAGGGAAGTTTTAAGAAAAAATGGAAAACCTTACAGATTTGATTTTATACTGTTACTTACAATAGAATTTCACTGGCAATTTTAACACCACTTGTCTTGGTTGTTGCAAGGTAAACTGGGGATCACACCAGACTAGCACCCGTAACACACTGCTCTGGTCTCCTTTCCTTCCTTCAGAGCTAACATTCCAGACTAGATAATTTCCAGACAGAAAAAGCAGACCCTACCATCGGGCTGAGATCTGCAGGGTCAGGGCCTGGAAAGAGACTTCAGGTGTGGGGAGTGGGCTCAGGAAAAACCTGGCTTTTTTGAGGAAGAGGGGGTGAGGGGAAGGAAGGTTATCAGAAATCCTCCTGATTTATTACTTATTGACCCCACAGGGGGAAAAGATGAGCATTGAGTTCAGTCGAGTGCCCGGCAGAGTTTGGCAAATATTGAGCATTCAAGTGTTAGCTATTAGTATTATTCACTGCGTGACAGTTTAATTTTTGTTTTCATTTGCTGACTTTTTGCTGGAATTTGGAAAAGCACATTCACTGCTTGAAATTTGCCAATGCCAATCAATATTTATCCTGGTTTTACATGAAAAAGTTTCAAACCCTCCATGTTTTATTCTCTGAAAGCTCCTAGCTGGCAGTGCCATGGGCCCCATGGTGTCGCTGTGGGTGACAGCACGCTAACCAGGGTCAGTGGTGTCACTGGGAGTCGAGTCCAGAAGGCCCTCACAGTATCCTTTCAGACTTCCCCAGGTCACAGATGGTGCCAATAATGTCCCACGCTCATGTTTTTGCTCTTTGCATATTGCCATTTTGGCTTTTTCATGTTTCTTCTTGCTATGATTGTGGTAAAAACCTCTTAATGGCCTTTGACAGTGCACATAGTAAATCCCAATATTGTAGTGATAAAATTCATGAGATAAGATCTCTATGAGATTCAGATCTCTAAATTATTCTAGGAAACTATTTCGATAATCCAATTTGGAAGAAAAGTAACAAAAATAGAATGTTCTCCTCCTCCCCAGTTTTACTGATATAATTGACATAGTATATATTCAAAATGTAAGCCATAATTACTTCAATGTTATTTATCACTTCAACTTTCTCAGAGTTCTTTTAATGGTAATTTTGTCAGACTTCTTTTAGAAGATAGGGTATCTGTTTAACAACTTAAAATCTAGCACCATGAAGTTTCAAGCAAACTTGTCATGACTTGTGGACCAAACGGATCCAACAACTGGGAAAAATTACATCAAGGAAACTACTACTTGTAACTATTTTTAAGACTATTTAGGTAAGTTTGGGTTGTTTTGGATCTGGTGATCAGCTTGCTGAGGGAGTGAGTCCATCACAAGGAACTCATGTGATTTCCTTGAGGGGACAGGACAAGGAGCCAATTCTCATTCAGGGGCAGTGGTTTCCCAGGTACTAAGAAGCAAGTGGGGGTTCCCTTCGGTATGCAGCCAAATACTTCTGGCTTTGAAGCCAGACAAATTTGATGTTATTCCAGACTCTACCAGGCTGCGTGTGACCTTTAATATGTTAACCTCTCTGGATCTCAGTTTTCTCATTGGCAAAATGGGCACATCATACCCACTTTGTTGCACTGTTGGGAGAATTAAATAAGATGTCTGGAGACTTCTGCAACAGTGCCAGTTATATAGCAGGTATTCTGATGATACCTGGAGAATTGTATCACAAATTTCTAGATGGAGAATAATGTTGTTAGTAATTCAACGCTTCACAATATTCCATAGCTGTATACCCTGACAAAATGATCATAACAGAGACACAGAAAATCTTCAGATCATCGGACTCTAATAATTCTGTGAAGGGGATTAGCAAAGATTTTACTCTGTGATTTGAAGAGCCTAGTGTGATCTGGGCCTAGTGTGATCCCCAAACATTTTGATTAATTTGGGACTCAGAATTAATAGTCAGGTCTCAATGTCAGTGTTTAGGGTTTTGGGACATCTTAGGCAAATAAGGTTTCCAGAAGACAACTATCAATGCAAACAGGATCTATAATGTGAACCACTATAAATCTTAAATCTGAGAAACGGGAAAATGCTTTGGAAAAATACATCTGCAGTTCCGCTGACAGGGGGGAGAAATATGAGAGGACACCTGATAGTTCGGGGGCCTGCATCATAGAGTGACCATATCTTACTATCATCATCGTCCACAATAATCTGGAAGGGAAGTTTTAAGAAAAAATGGAAAACCTTACAGATTTGATTTTATACTGTTACTTACAATAGAATTTCACTGGCAATTTTAACACCACTTGTCTTGGTTGTTGCAAGGTAAACTGGGGATCACACCAGACTAGCACCCGTAACACACTGCTCTGGTCTCCTTTCCTTCCTTCAGAGCTAACATTCCAGACTAGATAATTTCCAGACAGAAAAAGCAGACCCTACCATCGGGCTGAGATCTGCAGGGTCAGGGCCTGGAAAGAGACTTCAGGTGTGGGGAGTGGGCTCAGGAAAAACCTGGCTTTTTTGAGGAAGAGGGGGTGAGGGGAAGGAAGGTTATCAGAAATCCTCCTGATTTATTACTTATTGACCCCACAGGGGGAAAAGATGAGCATTGAGTTCAGTCGAGTGCCCGGCAGAGTTTGGCAAATATTGAGCATTCAAGTGTTAGCTATTAGTATTATTCACTGCGTGACAGTTTAATTTTTGTTTTCATTTGCTGACTTTTTGCTGGAATTTGGAAAAGCACATTCACTGCTTGAAATTTGCCAATGCCAATCAATATTTATCCTGGTTTTACATGAAAAAGTTTCAAACCCTCCATGTTTTATTCTCTGAAAGCTCCTAGCTGGCAGTGCCATGGGCCCCATGGTGTCGCTGTGGGTGACAGCACGCTAACCAGGGTCAGTGGTGTCACTGGGAGTCGAGTCCAGAAGGCCCTCACAGTATCCTTTCAGACTTCCCCAGGTCACAGATGGTGCCAATAATGTCCCACGCTCATGTTTTTGCTCTTTGCATATTGCCATTTTGGCTTTTTCATGTTTCTTCTTGCTATGATTGTGGTAAAAACCTCTTAATGGCCTTTGACAGTGCACATAGTAAATCCCAATATTGTAGTGATAAAATTCATGAGATAAGATCTCTATGAGATTCAGATCTCTAAATTATTCTAGGAAACTATTTCGATAATCCAATTTGGAAGAAAAGTAACAAAAATAGAATGTTCTCCTCCTCCCCAGTTTTACTGATATAATTGACATAGTATATATTCAAAATGTAAGCCATAATTACTTCAATGTTATTTATCACTTCAACTTTCTCAGAGTTCTTTTAATGGTAATTTTGTCAGACTTCTTTTAGAAGATAGGGTATCTGTTTAACAACTTAAAATCTAGCACCATGAAGTTTCAAGCAAACTTGTCATGACTTGTGGACCAAACGGATCCAACAACTGGGAAAAATTACATCAAGGAAACTACTACTTGTAACTATTTTTAAGACTATTTAGGTAAGTTTGGGTTGTTTTGGATCTGGTGATCAGCTTGCTGAGGGAGTGAGTCCATCACAAGGAACTCATGTGATTTCCTTGAGGGGACAGGACAAGGAGCCAATTCTCATTCAGGGGCAGTGGTTTCCCAGGTACTAAGAAGCAAGTGGGGGTTCCCTTCGGTATGCAGCCAAATACTTCTGGCTTTGAAGCCAGACAAATTTGATGTTATTCCAGACTCTACCAGGCTGCGTGTGACCTTTAATATGTTAACCTCTCTGGATCTCAGTTTTCTCATTGGCAAAATGGGCACATCATACCCACTTTGTTGCACTGTTGGGAGAATTAAATAAGATGTCTGGAGACTTCTGCAACAGTGCCAGTTATATAGCAGGTATTCTGATGATACCTGGAGAATTGTATCACAAATTTCTAGATGGAGAATAATGTTGTTAGTAATTCAACGCTTCACAATATTCCATAGCTGTATACCCTGACAAAATGATCATAACAGAGACACAGAAAATCTTCAGATCATCGGACTCTAATAATTCTGTGAAGGGGATTAGCAAAGATTTTACTCTGTGATTTGAAGAGCCTAGTGTGATCTGGGCCTAGTGTGATCCCCAAACATTTTGATTAATTTGGGACTCAGAATTAATAGTCAGGTCTCAATGTCAGTGTTTAGGGTTTTGGGACATCTTAGGCAAATAAGGTTTCCAGAAGACAACTATCAATGCAAACAGGATCTATAATGTGAACCACTATAAATCTTAAATCTGAGAAACGGGAAAATGCTTTATAACAGAATCTGACTGTACTTTACAGTTGCTTGGCTACAAGCTTTCCACTAAACTCTACAGAGGAGTACATATGTTCCTGCCTGCTTGAATAGGTAAAAGAATTATAAAATAATGAGGATAGTTACACCTACATTTACTCTTGTACCAGTGTCAAAAGTTGATTATACTTGACACAGAAGGGATACATTTTTTGCTCTGCAACCCAGGGTCATGATATTTGGCAATAACCCTTACTCTCAAACACTCCTAAGGCATAACATGTAAATCACACACAGTAACAACACAAGATTTGGCAAATAAGAGGTATAGTAAAACAATACATACCTTTTTAAGGGGAACTGTACTTCTAAACCAGTTATAATCAGGAGAGACTTTAATCTCTCCCATGATCAGCTGAAATGGAGGTTAACCCTGCAATAGAAGCACGCGATGTTTCACGTCAAGAATTCATGTTTACATCGGAACTGAATGTAGAGTCTGGTCAAGCTATGCCAACAATACTTTAAAGGGTAAAACCAAGGAAATTGGCTATTTTACCTTGTCCATATATACTTAAACTATACTTAAACTAAATTTGGTGAAATCCTGTAATTGTAGAGCAGGAAGGGGCTCCAAGAGATAATTATACTACCCTTACTTCCCCCAGCAGAGGAATCAGGTCTCGAAAATTTAAATGACTTACCGGAGATCCTATGGCTACTGAGGAGCTAGGACCAAATGCAGGACAGTCTTTGCTGACACCAGACTGCCTGTTCTATTTAGATGATCGCAAACCACAGTACCATTACTATCTATTGACAATACTGTAAGAATCCATTTTAATAAAGATGTTCCTTTCTGATAGTATAGGGAACAGCCCACACTAGAGAAAGGAGTTAATGTAAGCCTGTTTTCTAATCAATTCACAAAATGTCATAAATCTAACCCTAGTGGAACATAACTTCAGAACCTCACATGTAGTTCTTAATGCAAAATACAGGGAAACGTGCTCTTCATATTGCTGCAATTAAAAGTGATATAACCTCTTCTGAAAGATCTACAAAGAGATACCCGAATACTTGAAGGCACTCTAATTAGCAACAAAAGAAAATGTGCCTTTAGAAAAAATGTGTGGTCTTCTTGTAAGACTAGTGATTTCCAGCTTGTATGGCTCTGTGACCTTGGAAAAGTCCTTGACCCTCTTTAGAAGGCTTGTTTTCTCATCTATTACTGTTTCACCACTGTATCTCCAAAGCCAAGAAACTGCTTGGCACATAGCAGGCATTATCTGTTGACTAAATGAATGACTATGTCCTAAGGAAACTGAGCTAGGCAATACAAGTGTCCCTTCCAACCTGGGCATCTATGAGCTTTCTATCTACTGTCCAGGCTTCTTCAATTTAAAGATTTCCCTCTTTGCTCAGGCATTTGTGTTGTGTCATAAGAGGAACCTGAAATGACAATTCTCTCCTGCAGATTCTTACTTCTTGCTAAATGAGGAAGTTCCATCATTGGTTTGGAAGGATTCAAATACTTGCTTTGCATCCTGTCCTCCCAGCTCAGGGCAAGTGTGGATTTCCTAGCAAGGCTAAGATGAGTCTGAGATCTTAGAACTTAACTCCTGGGTTGACTCTGAGCTGTCATTTTAGAGGGGCTTCTTTGGACTGGCCAGGAACAGAGGATTCTAAAGCCAAGGGAACTATTCCTTCTCAGCCCCCCACATCTGTTCCCTTGGGAACACAGGGCATGCAGAAGTCTCAACTGTTACCTCTAAACTTGGGGGGTTACTAAAATTAAACCCAAGGAGGTGGTAAATGTAGAAAGCCAATGTTAAACTTGGTTTATAACCTTGACCTCATGCCCTTTTCTGGTACTGCATTACTATAAACAATTATTCCACAGCAGGAAGTATCAAAAACATATTTAGCAAATAAAATTCACTTAACAGATTCATAAAACACCCTAGCTAATTACAGCCAGAAAGTTAACTTTCAGATTTGCCAAACTTGGGATAAAATTAATTATTCATAGTTTTGGAATGTACAAACCAAACTACCATATTCCCATCATACACAGGCACACACATTCCCTGTCATCCACTCTTCCCATAGCAATAGGCAGAAAGATGTTCCTTACCACAGTCCTCAGTGTTATTCACAACCACCTCAGTATTGTAACATTTTATAACTAATCTTGCCGGATGGGAAGATTGCACCCAACTGTGACCAAATTTTTGTAGAGGCAAGTGATTTTAACACTTGTGCTGGTCTGGCAGTACATGAAGGGTGAGATAGATACCAAATGTTGCATCTGACCATCTGATGTCTAACTGAAAAAGCTCACTGCTGCAAAGGGAAAGCAGCTGGGAGTGGTATGAAAGGAAGTTTGTTCTAGCTCCCTTCCATCCCCTATCAGCATATACTTTCACAAGTCACAAGAGGAACATTCTGTATATGGCAAAAGAGGTTAACTGAGATTGTGACCAAACTGCTCGGTATTCAAGAAGAAGGAATGTAGACCATGAGCTCAACACTGAATTGATCTCTCACCATTCAATTCTTCACAAAACCAAAAGCACCTGTTCATGCTGGTGGAAAAAGAGCAGCAGAGATTAGCCTTAATCTTGCCTAAGGAAACTCCCCTCAGAGACTTTGGACATCCAGTCTTCTCTGGCCCTTGTGCTGCCTGACAGTGAAACTGCCAGTTGTGGGAGTGCCCCAAGGATTACCTGTACTTATCCCTTGGGGTTCAGCAGTCCCTGCCAGTTTACAGTCAAAGTAAACTGACTTGCCAGCTTAACTAGTCAGAGGTTTTCTGATCCTTTATCACAATCTGAAGTTTATCTACATATGGACAATGTGATTATCATCAATACCAGCGACAACAAAACATTAGAACCTGAGAATCTCTAAGTGATGCAATTGCCTTTTCAGTGCAAGCCACCATACCTCACCACACCAGTCCATAGCTATCCTTTTCGTAGATCTCTTCGGGGGAAGATTTATTCCTCTTTGCTTCAGGAACTTATTCCATTATCTTCTAAACCTCATGGGAGGAAAAGCTGCCTACTTGACCTTTGTTCCCTGACACCTCATCTTGTGCTGTCTCGGTATAACAGCTTTTGGAAATTTGCATTCAGGTAGTAAGTAACTCCTCAGTCTCTCAAATCTTTCTCCCAGTGGGCCTGGAACATTGCAGGCGGAGACAAAGCAGCAGGATAAATGCAGAACTTCTAACTCCCCAGGAAAACCAGAAGAGGAAAGGTGAGAGTCTAGCTCTGCTACCCTCCTCACCCCCATTCCCAAGCCTCGCAACCTGGCCCCTGCTCAGCAATGGCAAAGGCATTTGTCACTTTCAGGCCGAGATGCGGTCTCCAAAATAACCAGCCTCTGCTCAGAGTTCTTAAAAGTTTACTGAAAAACATGTTCCTGGGACGCAGCTGCGTAGCTCCGGGATGGAATTACAGGAGTATGCCTTCATCCAGCGGCCCCCACCCCGGCCCCAGATGACTCACACAAGTACCCACTTTTCCCGGTTCCGCCGGTGACAGCCACACAAAGGTGGCACAGGCACACCGACACCTACGAACCCAGACTCGACCTCAGAGACAGACACCCGCACACACAGAGGGGCATGCAATCACGTGCACAGTCACGTGGACAGGGCCACACTCATATAAAGTCTCGACTGAGGCAGCCACGCACACTACATACACACTCACCTGGAACCCCCACACACATCACACACCCACACCTGCGCTTCCCAGGGCCTCGCCCACCCCTCACCTGCCGTGGCCGCCCCCACGTCCCTTTCCCTCCTCCCCAAGGCGGCTCTTCCTCCCTCCACCACCACCGCGGGCCAGGGAGGCGGCGGGGCCCGGGACGCGGCCGGCGGCCGCAACGCTCAGTATCCGCAGGCGCAGCCGGCAGTGGGGGCTCTCTGGAGTGCCGGCCTCCGCGGGGCGGGGCGCGCAGCCGAGCGAGTCCGGGCACTCGTACTGCCTCCTCCCGACTGTCCGCACAGCCGGCGGGCGCCTCGCGCTTCCGGGTTCGGAGGGGCGGGGCCACGTCCTCAGGAAGGGGCGGGGTTGCGGGGCTCGGGCGGTCACCATGGCGACAGAAAGGGTTGCTGATAGGGTGAGAGATTCCCGGCAGTTGCAGCGAGTCCTGCTGGGTGGGAAGCCCGCGTCTGCGTCGGCGGTGGCGGCGGGCGTGGGGAGGTCCTAGTTGCTTCTGGGTCAGCTCTAGATCCCTTATTATTTGATGTGGGCCCCGAGGAAGAGGTTGTGGGAGGAGGGGGCGCCTGGCCCCTTGGGACCTGCCTCTGCCTTCCTGTCGCGCCCTCCTGGAGAAGTGCAAACCCTTCTCTCCGCGGTGTGAAGCTTTGAGGGGACCCCTTTGGATTACAGGCTTTGGTGAACAGGGCTTTGTATACTCTCTTTTCATGGCAAGGTCTTTATTTCCTTTGCCACCGCCACAGACACCCTTCATAGTCCTCACTGAGACGCCCCCATCTCCCTTTTCCAGACTTGTGCTAACAGTCTGGGGGATTTATGGGAACTGCTCCCACCAAGCCTCCAGCTCCGTCATCACTTTCTCTTAAACGAATAGAGAATGATAATAGATTTATCTTTATTCTTAAGCAAGATGCTGCAGAGGTCATGACTTTTTCAGTAAAATATTTGCAGGTTTGCTGAAAGAATGTATCATAAGGTTGAAAAACATGTAAGTCTCCTTGTTTGAAGTTTTTTAGTGATCCTGAAACAAAGTTCAGTTCAAAGTGCCTCCCCCTAATCTGTTTTAGGGAAAACTTGTACCCTGTGTAGAGGCCTTTGGATTTTGTCCTTACCCAGGTATTTGTTTACCGGATTAAGGTCAGGGGAAAATCCGAGTAAACTGCATCTTTAGTCATGACCTCTGACCTCCTGCTCAGGAGCCCTGGACCCCCATCTAGAACTTGGGTAAATCCCTAAAAACATTTCCCAACAGCACAGTAACCCATTCTCTTTTTCTACCCCCAAAATCACCCTCTTGGAATTTTGAGTCAGGCACAGAAAGTGGTCTTTTATTATAAGCACCACATAAGTGGATAGGGCATGTTTCCACAGGTTTTTAACCTTAGGCCTTTTTTGAAAAACTTTGAAATAGTTTAATGAATGGAATAACTGGCGAATTACTGATTATATATAAAACTCATTTTGGGTACTCATCACATTACGTATCTCTTTCCCTCAGTGGGCTGGGAGCTTTAATTTAGAGCAAAGGGAACAGAGTGGTTCAACCAGAGCCTTAGTACATGATCAGGCTCCTAATAGGTACTGCCTGTATATTGAATGAACTAATGGGAGAATAAATAAATCTACCCACATGTATTCCTAAAGCTGTATTCCTTATGTCGCACACCCCCAGACCTCACTGTAGTAACAGCCTGAATGGAGACTTCAGCTAAGGATGTGCCCAAATACATTAGAAGTCCTTATTCTGTTAGTTAGGTAATAATAATTTTTGACTTCATTGTTGATGATGTAAAACCACTTCACTATGTAGATATGTTTTGTTACATGTATACTTTTATTACTGTGTAGAAGATCAAATCCAAAATAATGACTGTTTTGTTTCCCTGAGAAAAGGACCCCATGGTCTGTTTGGATCCTCAGTTGTTCCAGAACACATGGGAAGCACATTGTTTGTTCCCGAATCCAAACAAGGAACATTTAATCTCTGTGAATTCCAGCTGTCCTGTAATTGCACAACTGCAGGGAGCAGTCTTTTGACCCAGGGCAGGCCACCCTGCAGACTGACCTGGTGGATATGGCTGTGAGGGCTTGCAGCTGTCATGGTCGGGGTCTGCCAGATGGTTCCCACAGTACCAATCCCTGTGTGAGAATCTTATTTAAAAACTGGAATGTTCACAGAATATTCTGTGAACACCAAGCAAAGTAAACAGATGGCCAGCTGGTTCTTAGAATTGCCCAAACCTAAGCTTTCTCTCTCAAATTGACCTTTTGACAGGATATTTGTTTTTAAACATGGGCAGAATAATCCTATATATATCTTTTATGCATGTATACACACCAAACAGAATAGTGGTTACCTTTGAGGGAAACTGGAGGATGGAGGCGGTAGTGAAGGGGAACTTTGGTTTTAGATTTAATATTTGAATTTATGTAAGAATGTATTCATATATGTGTGATAAAATGATAAAAAGCACCTATATCCATGCTTTTAATCCTTCAGTACCTCCACTGCCTTCAAATTAAAGTCCAGGTGCATAGGCTAGAGCAGGGTGGCTCTCTTGAAGAGCCCCAAACACCCTATGAGGTCTCAAACCTCTAGGCGTTTGTATATACTCTTCCCTCCACTTAGAATGCCTCCCGCCAGTTGACCCACCAGAGTGAATGACCCCTACTTTACCCCCAGGAACCATGGGTATGTGAAAAACAAGAGGAACAAAACATTTAGTTTTTCACACTAGTACCAATGCTTGGAATATTATCCCTTCAAAGCTTCCCAGGGTACAATCTGATAGATAACACTGTCAAATTATACTGGGAACCAAGATGGAAATGGATGCTATTTCCATATGGTTAGACCCAGTCTGTATTCAATATGTACCACACTGGATTCTAGGGATCAAAGAGTGGGGATTCTGGAATTACCCAAGAAAGGTGCTGACTTGACTACTCATAACTTGCTACCTGAAGGTCCCATCAAACAAGTTTATATGGTTATTTATGATCAATAATTTATTATCATCTGGGAGTTAAGAAACCTGAGTTCTGTCCTTAAGCAAGACAAATCCTCTCTAGGTGTGATTTCCTTCTCTGTAAAATGAATCCAAAGCCAGATGAAATGATCTCTTAAGTTCTTTCCAGTTCTAAGATTTTAGATCCTATATTCTTATGAGAAGTACATTATATAATCTTTACAATATCCTCTTCTCTGATAATCCCCCTACTATCTCTTCCTTCCAATTAAACTTTTTAAAAAGTATCCTGCACACAAAAGTAGTTATGGAGACAGAATTTGAACTTCTTTGGTAATTTAATGTCTGCCCATTATTAACTTTTTAAGATAAAAGTTCCTAAGCAAAGGTACCACGTCTTTTGTGTAATCTACCCACTTAGCATCTCATTAATGTTTCTTGCAGAAATAATGTGATAGTCTACCTTCTGCAAGAAGAGCTACAATAAATAATCTTAGAGAACAAGAACTGAACTATTGTACTACAAAATAAAGTAGCTTCTATCTGTAAAGTTTTAGAAAACTTTATGAATTCGCATCAATAAAAACAGTGATTAAATAGCAACTAAAATGAGAAGATCTCTTTGAAACTGTCTAGCATAGTGCCTGTGTGTAATGGACACAGCATGTGCTCCCATTTCTTTGAGCACCAAAACCCAGCACATTGAATTCCCTGATCAAGGATAAAAACATTTGAAAATAGAGGAGGAATGTGGTGAGGCACAGACAGGTGTCAGAGTACTGGGCTGTGAACTCCAGCTCCACCACTTATTAGCTACTTAACATTCTGGAAAAATGAGAGTCAATAACAGTACCTGCCTCACATGGTTATTGTAAAGATAAAACGAAATAGTTAAGGTCACGTCCTTAGAAATGCGGCTAGCGCTCAATAAATGTTAGCCAATAATAAAGTTATCAGGAACCTACTGTGTTCCAGGACTGTGCTACCTGCATTATGTGTATTGTTTCTATTCCTCATGACAACCTTTGCAAAGTAGGTATGGTTTCCATTTCACAGATAAGAGTCACCAGCCCAGGCTTACAGTCCATGGCTGGGGCAGAGCTCATGGCATGTTGTTGAATCTAAGGTTCTGCCTCTCAAAAATCTTTACTTTGAAACTGTTTGATGACTATAAAGAAAAATGGTGAAAATAGGTTGTACAGCCTTAAATACAAAGTATAAAAATAATCATCCTCTCAGCTGCCATTCTCAAGAACTCAAGAGTTTGTGCTCAGAAATATTTTTGTCCCCCAAACCAAGAGTAAAATGCGTTTTTAATAGAATCTACTATAGTCTTTAGGTTCTACCCCTACTATGGTCACTAGCTGGCCGTGGCTGGAGCCTGTTTCATCATCTCTAAAATGAAATTTCAAGTTATTAAATCATAGGGCTTTTTCCCACTCTAAAATTCTTTTCTTCCTATTGGTCTCAAGGCATTTCAGCAGGCTATTGCTGCCATCTAGAGGAGAAAATATTGTTGCAGGCCCAAACAAGGCATTACAGCTGTATTAGACTGTGGTGACAATAGTTATCTACTATTTATTGAGTGTCTACTATGTGCCAGGAACTTCCCTGGACATATTCTCCATGTGTTTCTATTCTGCAAAGTAGGTATTACCCATGTTTTTAAATGGAGAAATCAGAGTCTAAAAAATTTAACTTTTCCTGGGTCACCCAACTAGTAACAAGTAACAATTGTTTTCAATCTGATGTGTTTTTTTAAGTGATGTCAAGAACCAAAGCAGAAGCATCTTGCATAGGAGGCAATGTTTTTATAGTATAATCCTTCCTTTCAGCAAGAGCACAGAATAGGCTGTGTTCCATCCTTCCTGGGGGGATCCTGGACCTAAGGGCCAGCACATGGCTGCATGTGCACCTAAGCTAGTTAAAGCTGTTACTACTCTAGCATAAACATTATTTGTTAAGTGTGATAAAATGCAGAGTCCTATATCCAGAGATTCTGATTCAAACTCAGAGTGGGGCCCAGGAATTTACATTTTAAACAAGTTTCCAGGTGATTCTGGTTCAGATGAGAAACACGGCTCAGTTGTACTGGCTGTGGTTTCTGTAGGGGGCCCTAACAGATGGTGGGGCACAGAGCTCCCTGAGGCCTATCTGGGGTGTGCACCATTAGTTTTTCAAAGAATGGGCTGTCAAAACGACATTTCTAGACCTGGGTTTGTCCTCCAGTCTCCGGATGGGCTTGAGGCCCTCTGGATGGGAAACTTTCCTCTACGAGATGAGCCTTGCACTCCTGCCTCAAGATTCACATGTACAAAAAGTCCTAAGTGTACCACCCATACCAGTAGTTCCAGGTCACACAACCCCACCCAGCTCCCTCCTGGGCATTAAGCTGTGTTTTTTATGCAGGTCAAATCACTTAACTGGAGTGGGCCTTGACTCACAGTCTGGCCAATGGCTAGAGGTGATCTAGCGCAAAAGATTCTGTCCAAAAAGGGCAATGCTAATTGGCTAAGCAACCAGATAGGCTCCATCCAGAATGTCGGGTGGCAGACCTGAGGCATTAGCCACGAGGTAGTGAGCATCAGAACTGGGAAGCAGAAAGCTGTGCCCTCAGTAAGGTTCCCCACTCCCTGTGGCAACATCTGAGAGGGCACTTCCTTAGATCCCTGGCAGAAATCACCACCACTACACATCCATAAGCTCCCAGAGGCACTGCCTTTCACTCTGTCAATTCCTTAGCGTGAGCTTAGTGCCTGGGGCGGGGAGTGCTTAACACATACTAACTGAAGGACAACAAAAAGTCACTTCCACAAGGTCATTGATTCTCAGAGCTAATTTGGGATTGTTGTTTACCTTCAGCCCCATCTCACATATGAGGAAACTAATGTTCAGCAATGTTAAGCACCTTGTTAGATCAAAGAACAAATCAGCAGTGGGGCCAAAACTCTCCATAAACTCTAATACCCAACTGATAACCCCAGTTTTCACTTCCACAGCAAAAATCTTTTGAATCCTTTTCCCCATCCCCATAATTGCTGCTGCAGTTCAGAGGCTTCACATTTCTAACCTCCCAGCAGATCTTCCTGCCCCAGGTTTTACAAACCTCCAATCTACCTTCCACCCCACTACCAGTTACCTTCCCCAGATGCAAAACTGGTCACGTCACTTCCCTGATTACTGCATCCAACACAGAAGTCCAGATTCTCATGGATTTCAAAGCCGTCCATGATCTGGCCTTCCAGTCTTATCTCCATCATCCTATTCCATTCATATCAATACTTCAGTTTCCTCAAAACACTGCTCATTTGTCCTGTGTTTAAGATATCATTTCTCTTCCACGATCCATTTAGTTTTTTCCTAGCCAGCTGTATATAACTAGCCCACACACAGGAAAGAATGCCTAGCAAATCTGAATCAAACAATGATAATAAAAGGCAATCATGCTCCCACCACATCGCCCTGTAAGCTAGTATTCTTCTGTATCTCCATTCCTTTATATGTGCTAGAATGTCCTTCCAGACTTCAGTCTGAATAATGAACTCATCATTTGGAATCTCAGATCCAGCTTTACCTCCTATGGAAAGCCTCCATTATCACCTTAAGGGAGAATTAATGCTTCCATTATATCTCCATTGTGGCACTTATAACAGCATTGTATTTATTTATGTTTGCATCCCCTGTAAATTGAATATACCAACTATTCTTCAATCTCTGGATCTCCAGCAACCAGCATAAAGGCTACATAGCAAGTGTTCAATAAACAGGATGTCCATACAATTTAGTTTGCCTGGGAGAATCCTGGCTTATTGTTGTCCAGGAGCAATAATTGTTAAGTACTACCTTTTACTCATGAATGTATCCTAATTTAGATGACCAATTATACGATCACCCTATCAATAAGTGTTGTTGAATGGACAAATTAATGAATGAGGAAATATTTTAACTGATAGAATCTAGGTAGGAAAGCTGATATGTAAACATTTAAAAAAATTCAATAGCTGGCCACTACCCCTCTTTCCTCCTACAGAAATGCTTGACTTTCTTGGAGATAGAGAAGATGAGTTTGCCCAGACATCAGATGGTCAATTACCTTCACTGCACAAACAAGTTGGAAAATGTTCACATATTCTTACTTTAAGAAAACGTAGATATAAAATGTGAATTTATAGTACAGATCAATGTGAGATTATTAACTATGTATATTTGCTACTTGAGAACTAGATAGTACATAAATTTAAAGAGCTAACTTCTTGTTGACTATCAGAAATGTAGATTCAATAATGCAGAAATGATAACATAGTCAATGGGAACATATGATTTAAAAAATTTAATAGATGTGCTTTCTAAAAGAACCTCTCATCAGTATATATACATATACCAGTTAGCTGCATTTGCTTATAGGGAAAGATACAATCTTCTTGACTTTTATTATAAGTAAAAAATTTATTTAAAGCTTCTCTTGTTATTCAAATAGAAAGCTTTTTTAAACTACTGTTAAAAAGAAGAAAGTGAGGTGATTCATCTTTTCATCTTTTTGACAATAATCTTCTCTTCCTCCACAGTGTCATCTTTGAAAGTCAAGGTAATTCCTTACAAATAAGGCTTTTAATAAATTATAAATATGTAGTAGGTTCTTGTCCATCTTCTTCCTAATTATTTAATGCACTGTTGCACAGCAACAATTTTCTTTTCCTGCTTCGTCCTTGTTGGAAGTCTGAGAGTCTGAAATCTGCATTGGCTTATTTGAACTTGGGAATTTCTCTGGTACCAAGGGTGTAAATATCCATTGTAGAAATCAGTAGCTGTTAGTGTTTTCTTGAGCATCACTGATTGAACACCAATCCAGCCATCCTAAAGGGCAAAAGACAAATAGTGAGTAGGCAGTGGTGGCAAAACTGGTGCTAAATTTTTGCTTATAAAACTTTTATCGTGAAAACAAATAAATCAACAAATCTTTACTAAATGCCTAGCTGCAAATAGCACTGTACTAAGTAACATAAGATTCTTTGACTCTCAAAGTTTATTACCATGGAGTGATAACAAACGACAGACCTGTACAAACCTAATGAAACATAAAGAGAGCAGGACAAAAAGGTATGTTAAATTTGCATATGCTTTACAATTTTCTGAGTATGTCCATGTATCTTATTGTGACTAGTCATTAAAATATAACTGCCCCAAAAGGTAGGCAGATCCAATATCATCCCCAGAGAAAACCATTTCAGAAGAGAAAACAGATGCCCAGAGAGGTGAGTGATTTGTCTGAGGTACGCAAGCGGTAGGACTCAAACGCACATGGTCAGACACCCAGGCTGCTTCAGTGACAGCAAACTGCAGACATATACAGACCCACACAAGGACAGCAAACTTCCAAACAAGGACAGCAAACATGCACCCAACACTGTGCCAGAAAAAGCTGAAGAAAGATGAAGAGAAGTTGATGTAGGAGTTCTGCATCTGCAGTCTGCGTAGGTCAGATCACTCTACCACACATTTCAAACACCAGCTCTTGAGCATGAAACATCGCATACAAGCACCACATGAAGGAAAATACCCAGGAAATGGGAGAAACGTGGAAGTCTTTTCCCACCGTCTCATTAAACAATAATGGTTCCAAAGTTATTTTAGTTAAGAAATTGCCTCTTTAACCCCTGGTGAACAGTAAGAGCAAGGATGCCTGCATTGTAATAGTTCAGCAAAATAATTCAACATGGCTATTTTTTGTGACAGTCATATCAAGACGACATAGTAACACGAGCTTATTAGTTAAACTGGATGACTGCAAATATGTAAGTTTCTTTAAGCCCTAAAGTGACTGAACTTTCTTCCCCTGTTTGAGTAATAATAATGCCTTGGCAAAACTTCATCACTTTCAAAAAATTATACTAGAGATTCTACTATTTCTTAAGAAAATGAAACTTTCCACTGGTTCAATCTGATGGGCAAGCAGTTGAATGAACTCCTAACTAAGCAAGCAAATGATACAAACCATAAACTCAGTAGATCAAGTATGATGATTTAAAACTAAAGCAAAACATACCTTGCAACAAACCAACAGGGACTGGGATTGTCTGTGGTATATTACTGATCCTGGAGTAACAGCCTGTCCTGTTAATTTTGCATCTGAAGAATGGGAGAGAGAAAAGGATACAGGAGAATAAACAAACATGCAACTTCATGGTGCTTTTTAAAAAACATCTTGGGAGGTAGTACTAATACCGGAGAGGACACATCTGCTGACTTTGAAATCTAAATATTACAATGGAGCCATGGTGCTTGTGTATATCTCAAACCCTAAGGGAAGCTGTTCATACACATAAGAAGCTCTGAATCCTTACCCAGTCTCCCAGAGATCAGCCTAAAATGTTGAATATAGAAGTTTTGACCATTTGAGGGAAATAACTAGCTAGCAGTGGAGAAATACACAGGAGGCTTATGATCTAGGCTGGCTCTTCCATCCATGAACAAACAAACAGGTCCTGATTCCTAGAGTCCTGGGGACTCCGACTCTTTCTGAACTAGACCAGCTCCCTCTGCAGCTCACACTCTCATCAGTCCACCACATGGGGAAGCCACTGACGGGCCTGAGAACAGACCTGTGTCATGAAATGCTACACCCTGAACTAAGATTCTCCCTGAGCTGTCCAGAGATTTTCAGTAAGATATTCACCAGAATGAAATTAGCCAAGTCAGCTTGCACTCCCTGAAAACCTTAATGTAGGAAATCACAGAGCTTAAAATGGGATCGTAACAGTGCTTTGTCTGCTTTCCAGGTTCTCATGATGAGTAAATGAGAAAATACATGGGAATGGATATTGCAAGGAGTAAGACAATAAATGAATGTAAAGTATCATTACTGAACTGAAAAAGACTAAAAATCCTATTCTTAGTAAATGTGACCTATGGAAAAACAGGCACATTTTCAAAGAGACTACAGTGGAAACATTTTCCATGTCAGCTATTCAAAAGTTGGTACCAGTGAGGACTGAATTATCAACTTCTACCAAATCCAGAAGTTTCATGGTATTATCCATCCAGAGTGTCTGCAACGGAATCTGCAAATAAAATTAAAGAAGGTATGATAAAGGAGGCTACATGAACCCCAAACCCTTTTCAACTGCTATTTTGTGTTAATCTGGTCTGACTTTTCTCCCAGTTACAGAGGAATTGGGAACTTGGTCTCTAAATCTGAAGGAAAAGAACACAGATGTGACCCTCCACGTTAGCTTCTCAGATTTGTAAGATCTTAAATACTATGTGAAAATCAATGTGCTTCTACCTTTATTAATATTCCTAATTTAAAATTTGTTTATTATAAAAATTGCCTTACAGCAATTATGTTAAATACTGTTTAAATAAAATACTCTGTACTCCCATCTGCTGAAGTAACCACTGTTAACAGTCTGCATTTTTTCCTACAAATATTATTACTACAAAAATCTAGAACACACTGTTTTACAAGGAACTTTCTTTGCCTAGCCATAAAGCATGGACTGCATTCACCAGTGCACACTTACTTATTTCACTTTTTATCTGCTGCACAGTGTTCCATTTTATGATTGCCCCATAACGTATGCAACCAACAACTTTATGGATATTTCAGTTATTTTCAATTTCTTGCTACTAGAAATAGCAATTTCTTACAGTTAAAAAGTTGTGAGTTGTGGTAATGAAGAGCCTGGTGGCTATATCTCTGGGGACTTTTATATTTCTGGAGAATAATTGCTTTTTTAAGGGGACTACTTGAATTAAAAAGCATCAGCATTTTATTGCTAACCTGCCTTGACAAGTAAAAAAAAAAAAAGATACTCTACTGCTGTTTACTATATTGGTGAGGCTGAAGACCTTTCCTTATCTTTATCTGTACATTTTATTTATTTCTCTGAAAACTGCTTATTTATGCCCTTTGCTCACTTAAAGAAAAAAAAACAAGTTCATCTTCCTTGTTAATTCGCAGAAGCCTTTTATACTTTTAGGAAATTAGCCCCTTAACTCTCATATAGGTTAAGGATATTTTTCCCAGTGTGCTGACTTTTAGTCTTGGGTATAGCAATTTTTTTCACGTGTAACTGTTTTATTTTTATAAACTAATACTCACCAGCCTTTACTCTCATGACTGCAGTGGTTTATGCCATGTTTAAAAAGGCCAAGATTGCTAGGTTCTATAAAATTATTCAACTGTGCTTTTTTCTAGTTCTTTGCAGTTTCATTTCTTTTTTAACATTTAAATTCTTGATCCATCTAGATTTTATTTTGACTTTAAAAAGTATAATTTGAGGGTTCCCCCTGCAATGGCTAACCAGTTGTCCCAACCCTACTTACTGGATAATCCACCTCACCCTTCCCTGAAATGTGAAATGCCATCTTTACCACATTTTGATTTACTAATAAAAAATACAATTTTATTAGTAAATAAAAATCTGCTAATAAAAATGAGCATATACCAGGAAATAAGTTCTCTCAAATTTCTGAAGTAAGTAAACTTATTTTCAGACTGTAGTTCAACCCTCTATTTCACAGATGAGGAAAGTGAGGCCCAGAGAAATGGAGCTATTTTTCCAAGTTTAGACACAGCAAGTTAGTGGCAGAGCCAAAGATCAGAGTCTCTGTTTTCTCACTCTTAACTCAGTGCTCTTTATATGACATCCCCTAAAATGGACATTTAATTTTCAGAAGAGCTAGGTTATTTCAAAGATTTGAACTTTAAATCAAAGAAAGAAATTCGAAGAAAAGTTCATAGCTGTATGTAACTTAAATATGTCATATTTTGGTACAATATCCTTTTCTACAATTTGTTTTTTTTTCACCTGCTTCTAATAAAAGTTATGAAATAATTCTTAAGTGTGTAACTTTTTTCTTTCAGAGAACTCAAAATACTTTAGAAACATGCTTGCTGACTAAAAAAATATTTATATTTATTAAATTATGAATATGCTATGTATATAATCAGAATACAGAGTTCTTGTTCTTGAGGAGGGTAAAGCTCATCTTCACCATATCATCAGAGCACTGGAGAAAGGAAAGGGATGCTGAGAATGTAGTCACTTCAGTGTCCACCATCATTACTACTGAAACCATATGTTTGCATGGATTTAAATCACAGAATTTTCCTCCTTTGACCTTGACAGTTGTGGACATGGTCATTAACCTCATTTTAGAAGTAAAAAAGCAGAAGCTCAGAGAAGATAAATGTCTTGCTCTTGGTTAGTTAGTAAATGGCAAATCTAGGAATCAAATCTCACCTTCTGGCTCTAAGTACTCATTCTATTATAGCACAAGCTTTTCTCAGTGGAAAGGTGCACTGCAGAAGAATCATTATATAGTAATGTAATTCTATATTTAAGTTCTTGAGGAATTGTCACTCTTTTCCACTGCAGCTGCACGTTTACATTCCCAACAATGTATGAGGGTTCCAAATTTCTCCACATTTGTCAACACTTGTTATTGTCTGTTTTTTTAATTGTAGCAATCCTAGTGGGTGTCAAGTAGTATCTCAGTAGAGTTTTGACTTGCATTTCCATAATAACTAATGAAGTTGACCATCTTTTCATGTGCTTAGTAGCCATTTATATATGTTCTTGGAAGAAATATCTATTCTGATCCTTTGTCTATTTTCTAATCATGAAATTTGTCTTTTTGCTAGAGTTGTAAGAGTTCTTTATGTATTCTGGATATGAGACCTTTATCAGATAAATGATTTGTAAATATTTTCTTACATTCTGTAAGTTGTTTTTTCATTTTCTCAATAGTGTCCTTCAAAGCCTGACAGTTTCTAATCTTGAAGTCCATTTTCTCTTATTTTTACTTTGGTTGGTTAGGCTTCGGGCATCATATCTTACAGCCATTGCCCAATTCCAGGTCATGCAAATTTACCCATTTTCTTTCGAGTGTTTTTATAGTTTCAGTTCTTGCATTTAGTTCTCTGGTCCGTTTCTAGTTCATTTTTGTATGTGGTGTGAGGTAGGGATCCACACTGTCTTGATCACTGTAGCTTTGTAGTAAGTTTTGAAATCAGTAAAAGTATGAATCCTACAACTTTGTCCTTCTTTTTCAAAAGTTTTGGCTAGTCTGGGCCTTTTGGAATTCCATATGAATTTTAGGATCAACTTGTCAATTTCTGCAAAGAAGTCAAATGGGATTTTTATAGGAATTGTACTCAATTAATTTGGGGGCAGTGGTATCTTAACAATGTTAAATCTTCAATCCATGAACACAGAGGTTTTTCCATTTATGTAGGTCTTCTTTACGGCTTATTAGCCCCAAAAGTTTATTTTGGGATTATGATTTTCTACAAATAAGATCATGTCATCTGCAAATAGAGATAGTTTTACTTCTCCCCTTCCAATCTGTATCCCTGTTTCTTTTTCTTGTCTAATTCCCCTGGCTATAACCTTCAGTAAAAGGTGGAATGAAAGTAGAGTTCTATCAACAATACTTCAGTTAAGGGAAAAAAGTAGTGAGAGTGAACATCTTTGTCTTGTTCCTGACCTTAGGGGGAAAGCTTTCAGTGTTTCACCATTAAATATGATGTTAGCAGTAGGTTTTTTGTAGAAGTTCTTTATCAGTTTGAGGAAGTTCCCTTACCTTCTTAGCTTATAATTGAACATTTTTATCATGAAAGGGCATTGAATTTTGTCAAATGCTTTTTCTGTACCTTCTGAGATTATGTGGCTTTGTTCTTATTCTATTAATGCGGTATATTACATGGATTGATTTTTTTTATGTTGAATCAACCTTGCATTCCTCAGATAAATCCCACTTGGTCATGTTCGATAATCGTTTTTTATATGTTGTTTGATTCAGTTGGCTATTTCCATTGAAGATTTTGGCCTCTATATTCATAAGGGATATTGACTTGTATTTTTTTTTTTTCTTGTGAAGTCTTTACCTTTAGCCTAGCTTGGATTTTGTACTAGCTGTTCCCTCTGCCTGGAGTACTCTTTTCCTGATCTTGGCAGACTGACTCCTTATTGTCAGATCTAAGCTTAAATGTCAGTGCAGAGAGGAATTCCCCCTTTAACCAATCTAAAATAACCTCCAGTTAGTCTATCACATTACCCTATTTTAATTTTCTTCAAAAAACTTTTTACATTATCTGATATTTTCTTATTTATTTGTTTCTGTCTTCCCACATCATCTGTATCTCTAGTACCTAGAACAATGCCTGACACATAATAGGCTTTCAAGAAGTATTTTGTTAATGAATGAATGAATGAATAATACCATATATCATTTAATGAGTACCTGCTCTGTCCCAGGCACTGTATTAGATGCTTTATATACTTTATATCAGCACTAATTTTCAGATGAACAAATTAAAGTTCAGAGGTTAAATAATTTCCCAAGTCTACATACAACATTAGAAATTAGCAGAGATAAGATAGAACCTGGCTCTGTCTCTCTAAAGTCTTAGTTCTTTTCCCTATGCTATTCTGCTGTAGTGGGAAAAGTACAGGGTTTGATCTCATACAGATCTGGTTCAAAGCCTGACTCTCACTAAGTAGCAATATGATCTTAAGCAACATTCAATAACCAACCACTCACTGAGTATCTACTTTAAGCCTCAATTTCACCAACTTAAAGTAGGATAATACCCATAAGATGAGGCTGTGATCCTTACTGAAAAACTTGGCATACTACAGATATTCAATGGCAATTCTCCATTTTACCCAACACTAATGAGAGAGGTGGTCCATTAAAAATCCCACATTTGGTAGGTCCAGAGACTAAACAATATAAGAAGCTACCAAAAGAAAGGAAAGAAAACCAAAATTTCTGTCAAAGAACTGAGAATTTAACTCAGCTATTTTAAGAAGTGGTTGCAACTCCATTTCTGTCCCATATGTAGAAATCAAGGATTTAAAAATTCAATTGTAAAAAACTGGCCAGCAGCAGAAAGACATACTAGAAAAAAAACACTAGATTAGAAGTTAGAAGATTTAGATTAATTATGTAGTCACTAGGCATTTCAAAGTTAGCCACTTCATTTTCATTCCCCTCACCTATGAAATGGGATAAGAAAACTGGTTATGGGAACCTGCAAAACATATTTGAAAGTGCTTTATGAATTTTAAAGCCCCCTATAAAAATGTTTAAAGAATATTTTAAAAAATAAATTTCAGATACACAAAAGAATTAAAAGCTGGGATTCAAACATATTTGTACACCAATTTGCACAGCAACATCATTCACAATAGACAAAAGATGGAAACCCAAATGTCCATTGAGGGATGTATAGATAAACAAAATGGGTATATATACACATGGAATATTATTCAAACTTAAAAAGGAGTGACATTCTGGTACATGGTACAACATGGATGAACCTTAAAAACATTACACTAAGTGAGGTAAGTCAGACACCAAAGGACAAATGTTGTATGATTCTACTTATATGAGGTACCCAGAATAAGGAAACTCACAGAGACAGACGTAGAATAGTGGTTATCAGGGACTGTGGGAATGGGGGAACTGAGGAGTTAGTGTTTAACGGGCATAAAGTTTCCATTTGGGATGATGAAAAAGTTCTGGAGATGGGTTGGAGTGATGGTTGCAGAAAAATGTGAATGTACTTAACGTGACTAAACTATATTCTTAAAAATGGTTAAGCTAGATGGGTGAAATAGGTAAAGGGGGAGAAAATTGGTGAGATGTTTGATATCTTGAACTGGCTGATGGTTACATGAGTTCATATGCAGGTCAAAATTCATTGGGCTGCCCATTAAAATTTGTGCCTTTTATTGTATGTATCTCAGTTTAAAAATGTATATATAAATGGTTAAAATGGTAAATTTTATGTTATGTTTATTTTACCATATTTTAAACAAGTTAAAAAAAAATGAACCTCAGGATTCTTAGGCTTAGTTTATGAGATTAATTCCTACAAAACAATAGCATTTCCAACTTACTATATTTCCAATGGCACGATAAAGTCTGAGTATTTGCTCTGAAGTTTGTTCCTCCCATTTTATACAGCTGGCACAAGCAGAAATCTTAGGGGCTACAAGATAAAGCCAATAGCAAGAATATCAGGTTCAATGTCCATGAAGTAATAACTATTGATGCTGAAATGATAGGAAGAATAGAATTACATTATTTTCTCAACTTTGAATATGTCTGAAATTTTCCACAAGATAAAGTAAAAATAAATAAATAAATTCAAATAAATGCTAGAAGAAAACAGGTGAATTTCTTTATAACCCAGAAGTAGAAAAGCCCTTCTAACAATGACTCAAAATCCAGAAGCAATTAGAAAGTGATAAGAATGACTACATAAAAATCATGCAAGGCATGAAAATCCATCAACATCATCCACCACATCAACAGAAAGAAGGGCAAAAATCACATGATCATCTCCACAGACACTGAAAAAGCATTCGACAAAATTCAACATCCGTTCATGATTAAAAACTCTCAACAAAATGGGTATAGAGGGCAAGTACCTCAACATAATAAAGGCCACATATGATAAACCCACAGCCAACATTATACTTAACAGCAAGAAGCTGAAAGTTTTTCCTTTAAGATCGGGAACAAGACAAGGATGCCCACTCTCTCCACTTTTATTCAACATAGTTTTGGAGGTCCTAGCCACGGAAATCAGACAAAACAAAGAAATAAAAGGCATCCAGATAGGCAAGGAAGAAGTCAAACTGTCCCTGTTTGCAGATGACACAATATTGTACATAAAAAACCCTAAAGAATCCACTCCAAAGCTACTAGATCTAATACCTGAACTCAGCAAAGTTGCGGGAAACAAAATTAATATGCAGAAATCTGTTACATTCTTATATGCTAATGATGAATTAGCACAAAGTGAAATCAGGAAAACAATTCCATCACAATTGCATCAAAAAGAATAAAATACCTAGGAAAAAACCTAACCAAGGAAGTGAAAGACCTATACCCTGAAAACTACAAATCACTCTTAAGAGAAATTAAAGAGGACACTAACAAATGAAAACTCATCCCATGCTCTTGGTTAGGAATAATTAATATTGTCAAAATGGCCATCCTGCTTAAAGCAATCTACTGATTCAAAGCAATCCCTATTAAAATACCTACAGCATTCTTCAATGAACTAGAGCAAATAGTTCTAAAATTCATATGGAACCACAAAAGATCCTGAATAGCCAAAGCAATCCTGAGAAGGAACAATAAAGCAGGGGGAATTACACTCCTTGACTTCAAGCTCTACTACAAAGCCACAGTAATCAAGACAATTTGGTACTGGCACAAGAACAGACCCATAGACCAGTGGAACAGAACAGAGAGCCCAGATATAAACCCAAGCATATATGGTCAATTAATATAGGATAAAGGAGTCGTGGAGATACAATGGAGAAATGAAAGCTTCTTTAACAGCTGGTGTTGGCAAAACTGAACAGCTACATGTAAGAGAATGAAACTGGATCACTGTCTAACCCCATACACAAAAGTAAACTTGAAATGGATCAAAGACCTGAATATGTCATGAAACCATAAAACTCTTAGAAAAAAACATAGGCAAAAATCTCTTGGACATAAACATGAACAACTTCTTCATGAACATATCTCCCTGGGCAAGGGAAACAAAAGCAAAAATGAACAAGATGGGACTATAGCAAACTAAAAAGCTTCTGTACAGCAAAGGACACCATCAGTAAAACAAAGAGACATCCTACAGTATGGGAGAATATATTCATAAATGACATATCCAATAAGGGGTTGACATCCAAATTATATAAAGAGCTCACACACCTCAACAAACAAAAAGCAAATAATTCAATTAAAAAATGGGCAGAGGAGCTGAACAGACACTTCTCCAAAGAAGAAATTCAGATGGCCAACAGGCACATGAAAAGATGCTCCACATCGCTAATCATCAGAGAAATGCAAATTAAAACCACAATGAG